CTTTATCATTTTATATGCTTCTTATATGATTGTCTATTGTTGTTTGTATCTTATCTGTGTTCTTTGTTTAAATCAGGTCTCTCTTTCAAATGAGTCCTCATGGCTCAATGAGACTAACCTGTATAAAGAAAGGTTGAATAAATGAATGAAAAATATAAGACAATTTATTTTAAAATTTTGCCTGGAATACTTTTTTAAAATCTGATTTGGGGTGGGGGGGCTTTACGAGGGGCAGCACAGTGGTGCAACTGGTAGAGCTGCTGCCTCTCAGCGAGCAGGTCCTTGGTTTCTGGGTGGAGTTTGCATGTTCTCTCCATGCATGCGTGGGTTTTCTCCAGGTACTCCGGTTTCCTCCCACAGACCAAAAACATGCATGTTAGGCTGATTGGTAACTAAATTGTCACTAGGTGTGAGTGAGAGAGTGAATGTTTGTTTGTCTCGTTTGTCTCTATGTGGCCCTGTGATGGACTTGCGACCTGTCCAGGGTGTACCCCGCCCCTCGCACAGTGATTGCTGGACATGGGCACTGTCAACCCCCGTGACCCAAAATGGAAGAAGCGGGTAAAGATAATGGATGGATGGGCTCTACGAGGGCTTATAGCAATAAGGTTCTGGGTTCAATCCCCGGGTTTTTCTGTGCGGAGTCTGCAGTTTTTATGTTTTTGTTTGTTTTCTGGAGTGGTGGTTGGGGTCTTATTTCATAAGCAATGACTTACAGTAAAGTCTATCTATGTATCTATGTATCTATCTATGTGAGATGTGATCTATCCGTGAGATGTCCGTGAGATGCCGACCGTTTTTTCTACCGAGAGAGCTAACAGTTGTGATAATTACTGCTGTGTATATACCACCCGACGCTAATGTAAATACGGCACTCTCTCTCCTGCTGAACACCATTAATGAACAGCAGCAGGCTCACCCCGACGGTGTTCATATAATTGCAGGAGATTTCAATAGGGCTAATCTGAAGACTGTACTCCCAAAATTCTACCAGCATGTTAAGTGTTCTACTAGGGGGGAGAACACTCTGGACCATGTTTACTCGAACATTAAACATGCATACAGAGCCATACCCCTCCCCCACCTCGGGCAGTCAGACCATCTTTCCCTCCTGCTCCCCCCAACTTACACCCCTCTCAGACACAGAGCAAGGCCTACAACAAAAACTGTTACAACCTGGCCTGGTAATGCACTCGATGACCTACAGGACTGTTTTGGACAAACTAACTGGGACTTATTTGAACATCAGGAAATGGAAACATACACAGGAACAGTACTGGACTACATCAACTTCTGCATCGGAAATGTGACTATGGTCAAAAACATTTGTGTTTACCCCAACCAGAAACCATGGATGACCAGCCAGGTTCGCACACTCCTCAGAGCCCGCAACGCTGCCTTCAGGTCAAATGACAGAGCTCTGTACCGAGCTGCTCGAGCCAACCTGAATAAGGGAATAAAAACCGCAAAGTCTGACCATAAAAGGAGTATAGAGTCCCATCTGTCCAGTAACAACTCACGGGAGGTGTGGAAGGGCATAAAAAACATCACAAGCTATAGAGGCTGTGAGGTGACAACAGGAGACCTGAGTGCATCACTAGCAGAGGAGCTAAACTGCTTCTTTGCACGCTTTGATGCACCACAGCAGCACCCATCTGATCCTGCCCTACCCCCACACCCACCCGGTTACTGCACCACTCCACTCACTGTACGGGAGCATGATGTTAGATGTTCCCTCCAATCAGTGAACCCCAGGAAAGCTACTGGCCCAGATGGAGTACCTGGCAGGGTGCTCAAAGTATGTGCCCTCCAGCTCGCCCCCACCTTCACCAGAATTTTCAATATCTCCCTGGCCCAGGCAGTCATCCCTCCCTGCTTAAAATCTGCAACCATCATCCCAGTGCCGAAAACGCCTACCATCACCAGCCTGAATGATTACCGACCGGTGGCTCTCACCCCGGTAATCATGAAGTGCTTCGAGAGACTGGTTCTCCAGCACATCATGGATTATCACCCTCCGAACTTTGACCCCTACCAGTTTGCATATTGCACCAACAGGTCCACAGAGGATGCTATTGCAGTAGCTCTCCACACCGCGCTGAGCCACCTGGAACAACAGCACAGCTATGTTCGAATGCTCTTTGTAGATTACAGCTCGGCCTTTGACACAATCATTCCGGACATTCTTATAAATACATTGGACAATCTCGGCCTCCCCACACTCACATGTGCCTGGATAAAAGACTTCCTAACCAATCGGCCCCAATCTGTAAGACTTGGTCCCCACCTCTCCTCCACTCATACGCTAAGCACTGGCTCCCCACAGGGCTGTGTGCTGAGCCCCCTGCTGTACTGTCTCTACACCCATGACTGCAGCCCGGCCCACAACAACAACCTCATCGTCAAGTTCGCTGATGACACCACAGTGGTCGGACAAATCTCTAAGGGAGATGAGACATTTTACAGACAGGAGGTCCTGGAGCTAGCAACCTGGTGCTCAGAGAAAAATCTGGCTCTGAATATAAAAAAAAAAACAAGGAGGTAATTATTGATTTCAGGAAGCACAGCACCAACCTAGCCCCCCTTTACATCAATGGCGAGTGCATGGATAGGGTTCACACTTTCAGATTTCTTGGTGTCCATATCTCTGCTGACCTAAACTGGAAAGAGAACACCACAGTGGTCATCAAGAAGGCTCAGTAGAGACTACACTTCTTAAGAGTCCTTAAGAAGCACAACCAGAACACAAAATTGCTGCTGACCTTCTACCGCTCGTCCATCGAGAGCCTGCTGACATACTGTATATCAGTATGGTACGGCAGCTGCACCCTGGCTGACAGGGAGAGGCTTCAGAGAGTAGTCAAGACGGCACAGAAGATAATTGGCTGCCCTCTCCTCTCCATGATGGACATTTACACATCACGCTGCCTCAACAGAGCAGAAAGCATAATCAAGGACTGTTCACACCCGAGTTTTGAACTGTTTGACTTGTTACCTTCAGGGAAGCGCTACAGGTGCATCAGAACACAAACAAACAGATTCAAGAACAGTTTTTTCCCGAAAGCCATCACCACACTGAACTCACACATGCACTGATTTAATAATCTAACTTCCCAAACCCCTGGACTTCTACTGTGCAATACTACTGACATTTCATACTCTCAGTCACCTTAACTACCTCACTAATATACATGATGTGCAATACAATTGTGTAATACTTGTATTTTTTACTTTCATTATTATATCTATATTGCGTTACATTTTTTATATTTTTAGTGTGTGTTTAGTGTTTAATGTGTGTTTTCTTAAGGCGTGTTTTTGCACTGGAAAAAGGAGTGGCTCTTAATTTCATTGTACTGCGTATAATGACAATAAAGGCATTCTGATTCTGATGTATCTATCTATGTATCTATCTATGTATCTATGTATCTATCTATGTATCTATCTATCTATCTATCTATGTATCTATCTATGTATCTATGTATCTATCTATGTATCTATGTATCTATCTATCTATGTATCTATCTATCTATCTATCTATCTATCTATCTATCTATCTATCTATCTATCTATCTATCTATCTATCTATCTATCTATCTATCTATCTATCTATCTATCTATCTACTGTATTTATCTATCTATCTGACTGTAGTGTTACCCGCCAACCGCTTGGTGGCAGCAGTGCAGCACTCACTCCTATTTTTAAACCGTAGAAGAAGAACGGAGCCGGAAGGACAGAGCTTTTCCGAAGAAGGACGGGTCGGTGCCGTACGGTTCTGCGGTTGAAAAGATGCTGACCATTGTCTCGAATGTGCTGAGAACTTGTTCTCAGAGACATGTGAGTAAAAATGAACTTTACGCCAAGTGTTTCGTCTCATTCCAGCTCCACTTTGACATTTCTGGTAGTGAAGCCGGATGAGCTGGTCTCTGAGCAGACTGTCAGCGTTAATATTCTGACCTTGCGAGGCCCCGACGACAGCAAACACAGCTAAAATAAACCACAACATTCAGTTTGTTTCAGTGTTTTCACCAGAAGCACCTGCCTCTTAACTTTTGCGTAGTTCGACATCTTGGTTCTGGTTTTGAAACCTGGCGCCGTGATGCCCTTCAGACTGCAGAGTGTCTTAAATCTGACTTGTAGCTAAACTCGTTTCTAAACAAGACAAACAGCTCATTATCTGTGGAAAAATATTTCTGCATTTAAACATCATGGCAGGTTTTACTCTGCATGGGTCATCACGATTAAATAGTTTACATTACATTAACTTGAATAGTTTAAAAAAAATATATATAATGGTCAGCACTAATAAACATCCATCACATTTTTGTTTATATTTACAAAAGCTATAAGACAGTTTTTGATTTATACAAACTCGTGGTTTTAATTTCTACATCAGCTTGTCTTGCAGTGAGAAAAGAATAATATATTGCAAAATCTGTGGATTATTTTGCAAATTTGTTCATATAAATAGTTTATAAAACTAGAATTTATGCATGAAAATCTATATATTTGTCACTTATTTTAGACCTTTTTTTTTCTCGTCTGCCTTATCAGGCTGGTGCAGTGGTTGTTTCAGCTCGTACCTACGCTGACTTCACAACCCAGGCCACCTTTGAGATAAAGGTAACAAATAATCTTTATTACATTGTATTTTAAGCTGGGTTTGTGTTATTAAGTGTTTTTGTTCTTGAATGTGCTTTCCCAGAAATGTGACGTCTTCAAGCTGGACGAAGGCCCCGCCACGCAGGTGGTTCTGACTCGAGATGAGGGTCTGCAGTATTACCGCATCATGCAGACCATGAGGCGGATGGAGCTGAAGGCAGATCAGCTGTATAAGCAGAAGATCATCAGAGGGTTCTGCCACCTGTATGACGGACAGGTCGGAAGATTTATATATTCCTCACATTCAGTTTATATCGTTTAATTTGTGGGTTTCAGCTTAAAATAGAACTTGGCACTAATGATGCTAAAATAATTTTGTAGATGCAAATGTCTGACACCTTTATATTTAGTGTTATATTTCAGAACACACGTGTCAAACTGTTTTCTTTTCGTAGGAGGCTTGTGCTGTTGGTATTGAAGCATCCATTAATCTGACGGACCACCTGATTACTGCGTACCGTGCACACGGCTACACCTACACCAGGGGAGGAACCGTAAAGGAGATCATGGCTGAACTCACTGGTGAGTGTGCATTCTTGATGTATGTGGGGTCTGTTTCCACATCCCCGATCAGCCGAGACGGATCAGTTAATTTCAGTAACCAAGCCCTGACACATCAGAAAATACAACAAGAGTGATGTCTGAAAGTACAAACTGGTTTAAAAACCAACGAGACACTTTGTGTTAAAGACCAGCAGGAGATGATTGCTCTGCAGTGGCTGAAGTCTCTTTCATAAAACAGTTCTGCAAAATGGACGCATGTCTACGCTCCCTTTGATCATTCATAAATCACAGATAAAGCCGAACACGTCCCACTTGGGTATGAGTTTTCAGAAATGAGGTGGGCAGTGTGGAGCCGAACTGCTGCGTTGCTGTGGAGCGCGGCGCATTAAACGTGACGACGTCTCTCTCGTGTCGATTACTAATCCTGATGATTAACTCACTTTAACAACCCTTTTCTTTGTGTTTTTTTTTTTTTTAACTAACTACAAAGTAAAAAAAAAAAAGTTAAATCTGGTCCTCTGGACATTCAAAAAAACAAAACAAAGCAAAACAACAAAAAAATGTAGAAACGTTTCGTCTTTCATCCAAAAGACTTCCTCAGTCTGAGGTGCTGTATTCAGCTCAGTCTTATAAATAGCAGATTTAGATTTTTCTACCTGGATTATTGAGCATGCATCAGGATAACTACAAAGTTGCTGTGTGTCATCACCAATTCTCCTTCTGTAATAAATGTGTTTGTTGTTTAATCTTGTGAGCGGGCATGTGCACACTATTGTCATGACTAGGGCTGCAACTAACGATTATTTCAATAATCGATTCATCGGCCGATTATTTTTTCGATTAATCGATGAATCGGCAAAAAAAAAAAAAAACGTTTTAATTTCCACCCCTTTATTCCAAAATTGAACCTTTGACTGACATAGCAATTCACACTAAAAACAGGTTGCTATTTGACTATTGTTTTAGTAAAATATTGAATAATAAAAAAATAAAAGTTAGTCAAATAGCTTAAAAAAATAAATGTACACAAAAATATATACAAATGTGTCTTTACAATATGTAGCTACTTTGTAAAATGTGTCCTTGAGGGAAGAGTGTAACCTGGATTAAAAGTGTGGATTATTGTAACCTGGATTAAAAGTGTGGATTATTGTAGTGAAGCCTTCGTCTTCAACCATCGACAGAGGCCTCATGTCAGTGATGATCATGTTCAGGATGTTTCAGTGAAGACAGCTGCTGCTGTGGTGTCCATGATGTCTGTCCATCATGAAGGATGTTGTTGTTTGTTGTTGTTTTCTGGAATGAGACAGTAAATATGTTTTATAGTATAATTTACAGCAACTCAAGAAATGCCTTGTTTCACTTACAGTAGCTATGTTTACATGCGCAGAATTCTCTGACCGGATTGAAATGTGTTCTGTTTGAATAATTCAAATGTGTTGTTTACATGGGCACAATCTGTTCATGATGAGCGTTTACATGCAACGGGCTTTGTTCTGAACAGCAGTACTGACATGCGCAGTGCGGTAAACTCTCCTTAAAAAAAACACCGAAGAAGAAGTTCTACTTCCGGGTGAACGTAAACAAACCTGAGCACCCAAAATGGACCCGCGACAGGTTTTAATGATGTTGGAGACGTTATTGCACTCCCTGACTGAGCTACAGGTAATAGAAATCATTTTGAGCTCTTTAAAAGTTTCTAATAGAAATGTTGTGTCGCTCACCGACCAGTTTTACTTCCCTGACATGCTAATATTATTAGCGTTAGCTAGGCGGAAATGGCAAAGTCGCACATGCGCAGTCAGGTCAGTTTTTCACCATCAGATAAAAATGAACAGATCAAGCGTTTACATGCGCACCGATCGGGTTTCGGATCGGCGTAAACCACCCGTTTCGTTCTGATCAGAAATTATAACGGATCGCGCCGAATACACAAAAAATAACCCGAACGGAGCGTTTACATGACACACTTTTATTCCGACCGGCCATTTGATCCGGTTACTTATGTCCATGTAAACATACCCAGTGTTAGGTTCAGGCAAAAGTAGCTAAAAGAGCAATTACACACACACACACGCACGCACGCACGCACACACACACACACACACACACAGGTTTGTTTTGCTATCTTTGTGGGGCCTTTGCATTGACTTCCATTCATTTTTCATTCATTTCTATAGCCTAACCATGACCTTTATCCATAACCTAACCATTACCAGTACATACCTAACCCTAAACCTAACACATCCTCAATTCACACCTTAGTCCTAAACCTAGCCCCTAACCCACCAACGGGACTTCTTCTTATGGGGCCCGGGCTTTGGGCCCCATAAGGAGCAGTTGGTCCTCACAATGTAGTATAAGTTGGAAAAATGGGCCTCACAAAGTAGCATAAACAAGGACACACACACACACACACACACACACACACACACACATATAAAATACTTAATTACACACATTTCAATCAATCAATCAACCTTTATTTATACAGGTAAATCCCATTGAGCCTCGAGGACTCATTTACAAGAGAGACCTGATTTCAACAAAGAAAGATGACAACAATGGACAACAGCAACAACAATAAACAGTTATAAAAAAGCATACTACAGTTTTTTTTGTTTTTTTTTTAAATAGGATGGCTAAAAGGAAAAGGTAACAAAACAAAAAACAGCTAGATTCCAAGACAAATGTAGAAAACTAAAAACATTTGAGTAGATGTAATAAATTACTTTAATTCTTGTTTAAATGCAATTCATCCTGCCATACCTGCAGTGTCTTCAGACTTTGCCAGCAAATTAAAAGTTGAAGCTTAATCATTAAATTATTATCTTCGTGTTAGATTTATTTATAAATCACATTTAAACACTGCTTGTTCCAATTAAATTAAATTAAAAGTAACACACGTTCTCTATCACCGCCATTAATCAGATAAACAAACAAACAAGCAGCAGCTTCAGCTACCAGACAGACTGACGTTACGTTTTCTCTCTTGAAACAGAACAATGTGTTAAATTGTAGAGACTCACCTGCAACATGAGTTGGGAGTGAGACATGTTGTACCTGCTGCAGCTCGTGACTCCGACATGTTTACGTTTTATCTCCGTGGTTCTCACGTGTCGTGTCGGTGATTTTCAAAGCGGCATGCTTCTCATTTTTTATCTATGTGAAGAGCTCCCACACTTTGGAGGACTTGGGTCGAACAGTTTTCGCTGCGTCGGTCATTTGTAAAATTTACTTAATTTTCTTTGAAAACAGCCTCTGCCCTGTTTCCTCCTCCCCCCTCGCTCTGTTCAACTCGCGCTGCAGAGTTTTGTTTTTTTTTCAAACTTTATTCAGTCAGTCAGCATTGACAATGAACTGCAGGTGAACAAAACGAAACGGCGCCGCAGCGCTGTGAAAGACGCATAATCGCGCGACACAACGAATCGATAACGAAATTCGTTGCCAACGCTTTTAATCATTGATTTTTATCGATTTTATCGATTCGTTGTTGCAGCCCTAGTCATGACCTCATCATGACACTGAGCCACGGTGCCACGGCTTTCTTTTTCACACGTTGACCAGCCCGGCTCTATTTCTACCTCACTCCGCAGCACAGAGGTGCACCGGAGGTGGGTGTCTTCAAACCCCCTTGTGTCTTCTGAATGGACCGAGGTAGCCAGATCATGTCTCGGTCCCGGAGCCTTGAGTTTGTTTCAGTTGGACCACAGTGGTGCAACTGTCTGTTTTGTTTAGGTCTGCAGAGAAATAATGTGCTGTCATGTAGGCTTTGTGCAGGTAAACCAAGATTAGAGGACAGATCTTAAATATTTAGTCCCTTCTTGAAAACACTGAGATTATTCACACTTTGCTTTCAGATAAAGTTTATTTTCATGCAGTTAACGTCTGTTCATTCTGATTTGCAGGCAGAAGAGGAGGTATTGCAAAAGGAAAGGGAGGCTCTATGCACATGTACTGTAAAAACTTCTATGGAGGAAATGGAATCGTCGGAGCTCAAGTACGTTCTCATTTCCACTAGAACGACTTTTAATTTTAAACAAGTTTCTTTAGGAGATCATTAAAGTATCTTGATAATGCAGCCGACCTCCGTGCTGATAAATCTAATAAAAAGCTCAAACTGATCTCCTCCTCAGGTTCCTCTGGGTGCTGGTGTGGCTCTGGCCTGCAAATATCAGGGCAACAATGAGCTGTGCGTTTGTCTCTACGGTGACGGTGCTGCCAACCAGGTATGGCTCAGACATGACTGAATGTTGCTGTAAACAAACAGACTGGGGATCAGGGGCAACTTATGTCAAAAACAAATCAGCCGATTTTCTTCATCGCTGATCATGTGATGTCCTCTGAGGGTTATTTTATTGTCTGAATGTTTCTAAGGGCCTTTAACATTTTCCTGAGTGTACAAAACAAACTTTTGAACACCTCCCCACTGATTTTCACAAGCTATGCTAAGCTCAGCTAGCATCACAGCGGGGTTGCTCATGTGTGACATCACCCAGAATTAAAGGAACACACTCAACAGGAAGTACTTTCCCCACTTTACAAACTGGTAACACCGTCTGACTCGTGGTACCAGTTCACAGCTGATATAAGAATGATTATTTTGATGCTTTTATGTCAATTTATACTTATTTTATACTCATTTTATATGCAGCTTATCTGTGCAAACCAGGCCTTGTGCTGCAGAAGGTGAGGTGCTTTGAAGGAATGAAAATAAGCCTCCGGGAGTGTTCTTACCAAAAAGATCTGGCCCGTCTTACGGTTACAACGACCCGGAGTTTGCTGTAAACAGGTCTTTCATCCACCCACGACCTTGGGTTTGAAAGACATGTTTTTATGAGCCATCGCTCTGCTGTACAAACTGCCTTGATGATGGAAAACATGTTTTGCTCTGCCCGCACGTCACCCAGTCAGAGGGGGAGTATAAAAGTGTAACACTCAGAATAATAGTTGAAGTCTGCTGCGGGTCCTGATCCGATGCCCAGCCTAATTGATGTTACCTTTCTACTCGGACTGAAAACGGCTTCCTCGGTCTGGTGTCACGGTGAGGGGCTTTACATCAATGCTTGATTTGTACTGAATGTACGTTGCTTTGCTGTATCTGTGGCGGTTTAATAAATGACACTTATTATTCTAGCAGAAAATAGCCTGAGAGTTTTCATTCATTGCTCCGACCTTTCCCTGAACCTGGATCTATTTTGTTTAAGATAATTTCACAGAACATTTTTCTGGCGTCACAAACAGGATATCGGGAAGGCTGAGCAATGAAAAAAGGAAAAAGAGATTAAAGTTGAGAAAAAGTTGATTCAGACGCCTGAGGAGGCGTGAGTGGAACAGAGAAAAAGTTGTACCGGGGTGGGAAAAAGCCCCATCCTAGGTGTTAGAACAATTCTCTGAAAGCAGATAGTCCGAGTGATGTTTTGATCGCTTTGAAGGCAATAGAGGTCAGAAAAACAGGGCTACGACATCGCATGTGAGTGTGTGCGGCAGCCTGGGGAAAAACTGCATGAGGAAAGTCATAAAATGCAATTACAGGCTCAACGGAGCAAACAAGAATGTGAGGAGGCGCAGGCTGCCTGCCTGTTAAATAAGCAGCACATTCAACTGCTCGGTGCTCAACTTGAGAGGATGAGCAGGGTAGCTGAAGGGGCGGTGGAACAGGTGTCCCGGTTGAAACGAGAAAAATTCAAGAAAAAGAAGCGCAGTGTGTCACCTAAACGGGTACGAGCTTTTGTTGCCGCACTAGATGACAGATGGGATCCATCGAGTTGGGACGGTAACATCTGGGGAAACAAGGAGTTTGCTTACTTGTCTAAAATATATAAACAACAGACTGCACAACCCACAGATGCTCGGGTAGCTAGGCTGTTAGATAAAGGTGGAGGTCAGGTAGTGAATTCAGCGTATCGAGTCAGAACTTTGCAAGACTCGAGACCGTCGTTTGAAGCTTGTGCAGAGGCAGCCCGACAGATGTTTCCTGGAGCATCGGTTTGGCTTGATTTACAGGGGCATTGGTTGACCCTAGGGGGATGCGAGCAAAGATTGGTTCGGCTGTGTGTAAGGAATGCGCTCGCTGTGCGTTGGGTAGTAGATTATCATCTACATGTTTTTTCAAGGACTGATGTTCAAAGCCGAGTGTTGAAACTGGGTGCGCTCGGAGATTGGAACACAGAGAGAAACACAGAGCTGAAAACCGTGAAAAAAAAACATTTAGTCAACCCATGGGTCGTGGGCCGAGAAGGGACGGCCGGAAAAACATGCAGGAACCTACTCGTTCTGCTTTCTGGAGGGCATTAATACAGGCAGGAGTCCCTCCAGCTGAGATGGATGGTGTGTCAGCACAAGAGCTGAGGGCTGGATGCCATTATTTGGATCAAAAGGGCCAAAAGTAGAAGGTCCAGAAGTTGACATCAACCTTCTGAAAGCAGATATTGTCAACATTGAACATCAAAGGTCCAGAATTAGAGAGCCCAGATTTTGACGTTAAATTAAAAGGCCCCAAACTTGAAGGTGATATTGATGTTAAAATGCCAAAGGTCAAAGGAGAAATTAAAACACCTGATGTTGACATTAAAGGCCCAAACGTTGACATTGAGGGCCACAAAGGATGAATTAAAATGCCTAAAGCCAAGATGGTTGAAGGGGAAAAGGGTGGATTTGAAATGTCTAAAAAAAAAAATGTCATCAGAGCACTTAAAGGGGATGTGTTAAGCTGGCTGCTTTGAAGGAAGTGCATCATATGTTGTTTATACATGGTTCATCTGCAGCTGTAGTTTTGACGGCATCTAAAACAACTCGAAGTATCTAAAAATATCTGAGATGAAAAAATTCACCATCTTGTTTTGCAGTTGTTTCACATTTAAAGTAAAAGTTCAGCTCTTTTCAAGAGGGGTTCTGTGGAAAAAGTTATGAACAAGTAATATCTTACCTGCTGCACATAAGCTTTGGAACGACCTCAGTTTGGAGAAACTGATGAGCTAAATATTCTGAGTGGGGCCAAGACAAGAAGAAGGATTTCTTTTTAATAAATAAAAGTTAATTGCTGACACTTTTGCATGAAGTGGTTATGTATGAAGAATTGTCTGATTATTTGTAGAACGAAACTGATGACATAAAACCGCAACACAGCAATGTGAGGCATGTCAGCATCAGAAAAGGGGGTCACCACAGCATATGCAAGGACAAATACGCAAGGACAAATACACAGAGGGAAGGGGCCAGGCCAAATCTGGCAGATGGATTTCATTGGCCCTTTGCCCATGTCACAGGGGTGTAGATATGTATGTACGGCTGTAGATACATATTCAGGTGTGTTGGTGACTCATCCTTGTAAATATGCTAATCAAGCATCTACTTTAAAAGTCTTAGTATGATGAAATAATTTTATGGGGTTCCCCTTCAGATACGAACAGATAATGGGACCCATTTTACTGGAAAACATGTTTTGCTCTGCCCGCACGTCACCCAGTCAGAGGGGGAGTATAAAAGTGTAACACTCAGAATAATAGTTGAAGTCTGCTGCGGGTCCTGATCCGATGCCCAGCCTAATTGATGTTACCTTTCTACTCGGACTGAAAACGGCTTCCTCGGTCTGGTGTCACGGTGAGGGGCTTTGCATCAATGCTTGATTTGTACTGAATGTACGTTGCTTTGCTGTATCTGTGGCGGTTTAATAAATGACACTTATTATTCTAGCAGAAAACAGCCTGAGAGTTTTCATTCATTGCTCCAACCTTTCCCTGAACCTGTATCTATTTTGTTTAAGATAATTTCACAGAACAACAGCCAATAACAGACGTGAACATAAATACCAAAGCTGAACAGGACATGGACAACAACAACAAAAATTCCACTCAGAAACATTGCACATATAATTGCCACGAGGCTACCCAGCATCCTTTGCAGCTCACACAGTTTCTTTGGGACGCGACAATGGTGTACTGGTGTAATGGTGTAAAACTTGTGCACGTCTCAAAACTGTTTACGTACAGATACAGACAAACAGATATTTATAAACTACAAACAGCTGAAGCTGACGCTCACAGAGAGAACTTTGTGAGTTTTGGAGAGAATAAATTAAAGATGAACTGAGACGTGTTTGAAATCATCTGGAGCAGATAAATAACCGTCTTTTATTGTTAATATTTAATTATAAGAAGTAAAGTAGCAAAAGCACGAGTGGACAGGCTGCGCGCTCCTCTCTCCCACGGTGTGAGGAGGTCCGTCATCCAGGGCAGTATCAGTGGCGGCTGTGTGCGTGCATGTGCACACAGTGTGTGTCGGAGATGGCCTTTCTGTGATGGTTGACGTGCGAATAGAAAAGAGAACCGCCCGCGGAGCTGCAGCTCAGTAATGTGATGAACATCAGTTGTGACCGCCCGCTCGTGGGATTGAACAACAGATTATTACAGAGACGATAGTGATGATGACGCACGGAGGATCACTAAAGTAACTTAAGTCATTATAGTTGATGACAGGAGGGCGACGTCCCACACACACTGAACGCATCGCTCTGCTTCAGCCCAGCAGAGTTCTGCTCCGCCTCTTTGGTTCCTCTCAACCGGCTTCATTTTTCAAAGCTCACCTCTGATTTATGAACATTTAGCACGCAGGAGAAAAGCAACTAGTCGTTCAGTCAGGGCGTATCAGAAACGGTCAACTTTTTTTTTTCATTGTGAGAAGTGTACACAATGCTTGACCCAGTCAATCTTAGGATTTGTGTAAAAATGTTGAACGTTGAAGAACCCCTAAATTATTCTCACTATTCAGATCTGTTTGTTTTTCAGCTCGTAACTCGTTCCTCAGTTTTTGTTTAATTTCAACAATTCATAAATCAAAACATTCAGCTCGTTCAGCACATTCCTGCTCTGACTTTTGTTTTTTGTCGTGATTTTTAACTTTTTGAAGTATTTAGTTTTGTCGGCCATGTTTTTCTCACTGAAAATGAATGGAACTCTCTTCACGTCCTCCTTTGACCTGTTTACACCCTGTTACTATTCATTTCAGCTTTTGTTCTGGTTCAGCTTTTTGCAACTTCTTTAAGCTGATTTTAGCTTTTTTCTGACTATTTAAGTTTTTTTTTTTCCTTCTTTCATCTTCGTGCTCCTAAATTTAGCTTTTTCAGAGATACTGTATTTTGTTTTTCTGCTAACTAGAAGTTGTATTTTGCTAATTTTGGCCTTTGGGACTCTTTCAAGTAATCTCACCTTTTTTACTCCTTTCAGTTTTTTTTTTCTCTTTTCAGTTTCTATTGTCTCATTTAAGAATATTCTTTTTGTTTCTTTGTTTTAGCTTTTTGCTGCTCCTTTGAGCTTCTTATTCTAATTTCAGTTTTTTGTGCTTCTTTCAGCTTTTTAGCTTTTTTCTACTTAATCTTCTTTTGGGTAATGTAGGCTTGCTTTCTGCTTTCTCAGCAGCTATTAGCTATTTTTCTGTTAATTTCATCTTTTTGGTTACTTTTCAGCTAATTTAAAGTTTTATGAGATTTTCAGCAACTTTTTGCTTATTTCAGTTTTTTGTGCTCTTTCCACCCTTTTGTGCCTTTTTTTAAATTTTAGCTATCAACTAATTTTAGCTGTGTTTTGCTCTGTTATGCTTTTTGTAATTTTAGCTTTTTTGTGTTACTTTTGTTTTTTTCCTGCTAAGTCAGGCTTTTTCCACTCCTTTTTTCTTTTAATTTTAGCATGTGTCTTCTACCTTTACCTTCTTTCTTCCAATTTCAACTACTGTACTTTTTTTCCCTAATCATTTCAGCTTTTTGTGCTCCTTTCATCATCTTCTTTCTACTTTTCATCCGTTACTGTATTTCAACTAAGCTTTAGCTTGTTCAAAAGCTTTCAGAAAAATCATTTAGCAGCCAGGGTTCAAGCTGAATTTTTACATGAAATGACATTTCTCTAGGAATTTGCAGAAAACTTTATCTCATACAGACACAGGTTGGCTACTATAATAAGTGTCGGGTGTTATTTTAAGTCTCTCTGGTGTTTTCATAAAGACACCAGTTTAGTGTTTTTATTAAATTTATTGAAATTGGAGACATTTAGTCGGGTCTTTCCTCTCTGTGTCCAATCTGTTTAATTCTTCCGTTTTCTCGTTAGTCACATCCACCATGTGTGTGTGTGTGTGTGTGTTTGTTCCAGGGTCAGATCTTTGAAACCTACAACATGGCTGCTCTGTGGAAGCTGCCAGTGATCTTCATCTGTGAGAACAACAGGTATGGGATGGGCACGTCGGTGGAGCGAGCCGCAGCCAGCACAGACTACTTCAAGAGGGGGGAGTTCATTCCTGGTCTCAGGGTACAGTTTTCACTTCTCCTGGTTCATGCGTTCAACCTTTTATTTAGATTATATTTTGGTCGACCTTCTGACAAAATCCTCAGCATGTTGGATTTATTTGGATGAAATAAATGTTCTTACCGTTGAGCTAGCTTCGTGTCATTTAAACACCAGCATTATCAACACGACGTGTACAATATATTTTTAGGACAGATTGGACTTGTAGACATCTCTTCGGTCTCCAGTTGAGACTATCTGCAGCAGAGAAATGTCTCCTTACAAACCCCCACCCCCCAAAAAAGTGGCTTTCTGAACTTATGGGTTATTTCTTCATCATGTTGAACCAGGTTCATGTGTTCATCAAAAGCAAAAATGCATCCGGCTGTCCTCACGTTCACCTGCTCATACAGCCACACCTGAATTTATGAGTGATTTAGAGAATATTTTAAAGTGACTGCACAGTAACCTTCAGTCCTTTTTCACTGTACACCGTTTCTCCAACAAAACACCAACAGCGTTAAAACAACCAGAAGTCACAGCTTTTTGGTGGTGTGCATTTTCACTTACAGCTTGCCTCGTGAGTTTCTACAACCAGTCCTAAACTTGTTGGGACACGAAACTAAAGCAGACTAAAATGAATAAATACTCTTCGTCTGTCTGTGCATGTTGTAAACATGAGAACTTGAAAAATAAGTTATACCATTATGGTGTGTGGCTACATCTAACCAGATGGAGGGTGGGAGGACACAGAGGCAACCGTGTGCTGTTTGCACTGACAGCTTTACAGTTTTAGACCAGGGTGTGTGAGAGGAGAGAGACAGATGCATCTCATCTGCTCGCTGTCTGAACCGACAGTTTTTTGTTTTTTTGGCAGGGGGGTCGGCGGGGGGGAGAGACAGACGCACATCTGAACCGTGTGCTGTTTGTACCGACAGTTTTCGAGTGGTGGGGGTATGTTCATCGTGAGGGTTCAGCATGAAGGAAGAGGCTGCCTTTAGCTTTTTAGCTAGTGCACCTGCATTGCGAGTAGGGCTGCAACTAACGATTATTTCAATAATCGATTCATCGGCCGATTATTTTTTCGATTAATCGATGAATCGGCAAAAAAAAAAAAAACGTTTTAATTTCCACCCCTTTATTCCAAAATTGAACATTTGACTGACATAGCAATTCACACAAAAACAGGTCGCTATTTGTCTATTCTGTTAGTAAAATATTGAATAATAAAAAATAAAAGTTAGTCAAATAGCTTAAAAAATAAATGTACACAAAAATATATACAAATGTGTATTTATACCTGCACAATATTTAGCTACTTTGTAAAATGTGTCATTGAGGGAAGAGTGTAACCTGGATTAAAAGTGTGGATTATTGTAACCTGGATTAAAAGTGTGGATCATTGTGGTGAAGCCTTCGTCTTCAACCATCGACAGAGGCCTCATCGACAGAGGCCTCATGTCAGTGACGATCATTTAAGGATGATTTCAGTGAAGACAGCTGCTGCTGTGGAGTCCATGATGTCTGTCCATCATGAAGGATGTTGTTGTTTGTTGTTGTTTTCTGGAATGAGAGAGTAAATATGTATTATAGCATAATTTACAGCAACTCAAGACATGCCTTGTTTCACTTACAGTGTTAGGTTCAGGCAAAAGTAGCTAAAAGAGCAATTAAACACACACACACACACACACACATATATATAAAATACTTAATTACACACATTTGAGTAGATGTAATAAATTACTTTAATTCCTGTTTAAATGCAATTCATCCTGCCGTACCTGTAGAGTCTTCAGACTTTGCCAGCAAATTAAAAGTTGAAGCTTAATCATTAAATTATTATCTTTGTGTTAGATTTATTTATAAATCACATTTAAACACTGCATGTACCAATTAAATAAAATAAAAAGTAACATACACGTTCTCTATCACCGTCATTAATCAGCAAACAAACAAACAGCTTCAGCTACAGACAGACTGATGTTACGTTTTCTCTCTTGGAAACAGAACAATGTGTTAAATTGTAGAGACTCACCTGTAACACGAGTTGGGAGTGAGACGAGTTGTATCTGCTGCAGCTCGTGACTCCGACATGTTTACGTTTATCAGTGTGGTTCTCCCGTGTCGTGTCGGCAATTTTCAAAGCGGCATGCTTCTCATTTTTTATCTTTGTGAAGTTCTCCCACACTTTAAAGAACTTGGGTCGAACAGTTTTCTCTGCGTCGGTCATTTGTAAAATTTACTTAATTTCCTTTGAAAACACTGCCTCTGCTCTGCCTCGCCCCTTGCTCTGTTCAACTCGCGCTGCAGTTTTTTTTTTCAAACTTTATTCAGTCAGTCAGCATTGACAATGAACTGCCCGTGAACAAAACAAAACGGCTCCGCAGCGCCGTGAAAGATGCATAATCGCACGACACAACGAATCGATAACGAAATTCGTTAACAACGCTTTTAATCATCGATTTTTATTGATTTTTATCGATTTTATCGATTCGTTGTTGCAGCGCTAATTGCGAGTCGCTAGTTTAGCGTTACGTCAGTGCAGACAGGTGGTTGGGGGTGGGGTTCTGTTGACGGGGCGCTCGGTTCTGTTGACGGGGCGGGGCGCCCCGCTTGCATAATGGTAGGGGAAACACTGTAAGCGTAAGAGAGTTTATTTTGGAAAACTGGGTTGTTTCATCAAAATCCAATATGGCTGCTGCCGTAAATGTCCATCTGTGTTGTTTGCTGGATAACTTTAAAAATCAGCAACATGCCGACTTCCATTTGGTGTGTGACAAAATTATACTTTCTAGTTTTTATATTACTGTATTTTTCGGACTATGAGGTGCATTAAGTGAAACAAAACAGTCAGATAAGTCAAACTTTATTCAACTCATTCACAATAACTCAACAATGTTCAGTTGTACCACATAAATGAAAATGTAAAATAAAAATGTTTGGGGTGGCCAAGGCCACCATTGGCCACCCCCTGGCTCCTCCACTGCTCCTGGCAGTGGATAAAATGTCTCCCTCCACCATCCAGGATCCGTGACTCTGCTCTGCCTCAGACAAGATAAAACAAACTCCTCCCCTCTGTTCTTCTCCACAGTGTAACTCCTCACCACATGAACAGATTCCACCAAAACCATTTAGGTTTACTTCATCCCTTGTTCATTTCCATTCCAGAAAAACTTGAAAATCTCAACTAGAAAACACTCGATATTTAAATCCCTCAGCGTCGGGGGACGTCGGCGTGCCACTTGTTAAAGTTCACATGACCAGATTTGAATTTCTCCTTCAAGCGTTCAGATCTTTACAATAATTTTCTGTCCAGGTGGATGGCATGGACGTTCTGTGTGTTCGGGAAGCGACCAGGTTTGCAGCTGATCATTGCCGGTCTGGGAAGGTTGGTAAAAACTCTAAATCAAATAATTTATATTTGTCATTTTCTATTCTAAGAAATGTTTTTGCTCCATCTTTTAAAAGGGCCCGATCCTGATGGAGCTTCAGACGTACCGCTATCACGGCCACAGCATGAGTGACCCTGGCATCAGGTGAACCATCACACTACCTGAACTTGGCAGTCGTTGCCATTCAGGAGTTAATAAATGACTTATAAATTATATTTTTGTCTGAGTGTTGCTCCAGACTTCTGCTCCTGTTTGTGTTGTAGTCTATTAAACTCTCTTCAGCATTTCAAGGTTTTGCCCCTGAGCCCAGTCAGTTTCTAATATGACTTTAAAAAGTGATATAATGTTTGTAATCAAGTTCTAAAGTGTGAAAAGATTAGTTTTATTGTGCATCTATCCCTTCCCTTTCAGCTACCGCACACGTGAGGAGATCCAGGAGGTCCGCAGCAAGAGTGACCCCATCTCCTTGCTGAAGGATCGCCTCATCAGCAACAACATGGCCAGTGTGGAGGAGCTGAAGGTAGCAACAGCTTCTAAATATTATTTGTCTCTGCTCAACCAGAAATGTTACCCAGTACATGTAGTGTGGTATCAAGTTTTAGAATTGTGATAATCTGACTCTGTATTTATTGAAACGTTTTTTCTAAACTAGAGTCCTGGAAGAGTAAACCTACAAAACCACGTTTGTTTTGTATTTGTACCGACTTTCTAACCGCCTGCTTTTGACCTAAGGCAATTAACTTTTTGTCTTAAATCTTTTCTCTTATGTAGGGCTGCAACTAACGATTATTTAAATAATCGACTCATCGGCCGATTATTTTTTTCCGATTAATCGATGAATCGGCAAAAAAACCAACATTTTAATTTCCACCCCTTTATTCCAAAATTGAACATTTGACTGACATAGCAATTCACACAAAACAGGTTGCTATTTGACTATTGTGTTAGTAAAATATTGAATAATAAAAAATAAAAGTTAGTATAAAATAGCTTAAATAAAATAAATGTACACAAAAATATATACAAATGTATCTTTATACCTGCACAATATTTAGATACTTTGTAAAATGTGTCATTGAGGGAAGAGTGTAACCTGGATTAAAAGTGTGGATCATTGTAGTGAAGCCTTCGTCTTCAACCATCGACAGAGGCCTCATGTCAGTGACGATCATTTAAAGATGTTTTCAGTGAAGACAGCTGCTGCTGTGGTGTCCATGATGTCTGTCCATCATGAAGGCTGTTGTTTGTTGTTGTTGTTTTCTGGAATGAGACAATAAATGTGTATTATAGCATAATTTACAGCAACTCAAGAAATGCCTTGTTTCACTTACAGTGTTAGGTTCAGGCAAAAGTAGCTAAAAGAGCAATTACACACACACACACAAACACACACAGGTTTGTTTTGCTATCTTTATGGGGCCTTTGCATTGACTTCCATTCATTTTTCATTAATTTCTATAGCCTAACCATGACCTTTATCCATAACCTAACCATTACCAGTACATACCTAACCCTAAACCTAACACATCCTCAATTCACACCTTAGTCCTAAACCTAGCCCCTAACCCACCAACGGGACTTCTTCTTATGGGGCCCGGGCTTTGGGCCCCATAAGGAGAAGTTGGTCCTCACAATGCAGTATAAGTTGGAAAAATGGGCCTCACAAAGTAGCATAAACAAGGACACACACACACACACACACACACACATATATATAAAATACTTAATTACACACATTTGAGTAGGTGTAATAAATTACTTTAATTCCTGTTTAAATGCAATTCATCCTGCCATACCTGCAGTGTCTTCAGACTTTGCCAGCAAATTAAAAGTTGAAGCTTAATCATTAAATTATTATCTTTGTGTTAGATTTATTTATAAATCACATTTAAACACTGCTTGTACCAATTAAATTAAATAAAAAGTAACACACACGTTCTTTATCACCGTCATTAATCAGAAAACAAACAAACAAACAGCTTCATCTACCAGACAGACTGATGTTACGTTTTCTCATTTGGAAACAGAACAATGTGTTAAATTGTAGAGACTCACCTGCAACACATGACGAGTTGTATCAGCTGCAGCTCCTTCCTCCTCCTCGTGACTCCGACATGTTTTTTTTGTTTTTTTTCTCTGATGGCCTCCCTTCTCCCCTTACAGCCATCCTCTCCACACCATTATTATGAAATATTTATTATAGTGACTATCTAGTGTAGGTTTTTTTTTTTTTTTTTTTTTAAATAGGATAGAAAGAAAGAAAAGACAAAGTAAGACTCCAAAATATAAGAAATATATACAAATAGAGCACACGTCAAAACACCCGGCCACTGTCTGTTCACCTGCAAAGAACATGACAAAACACAGCAACAAAATACATATGTATAAAGAACTTAAAATATTCATGGCTTTGCAGTAAGTTTCCATAAATATATATACCCATATCTACGCCTATATACATACATACATACATACACATGAATATACACTCACATACATATCTATATATCTACATATAAAGCCTACATAAGCATCCCTGCTTCTATTTGTGTGTGGTTGTGAGCATGCATAAGTGTATAATCAATCAACCTTTATTTATACAGGTAAATCCCATTGAGCCTCGAGGACTCATTTACAAGAGAGACCTGAAAGGCTTCTCTAATAGAACATTTATTAGTAACTGTGAAGCAGCAGAGACCCGACCCCCAAGACCAGAGGCAGACGAAAAAGGGGGGACCAGAGCCCAAGACCCCAGGAGGGACCCCGACCGCGGAGCCCCCAGAGCCACCCACACAGGACGAACCACTCACCCACCCCCCAGAACGGACCACAGGGGAGAACCGGAAGATCCCCACCAGCAACCACATACAGTGACCCCCCGGGGCCAACAGCGACAAACTCATAGGCCTCCGTCGGCACCCGCCGCACCGATGTAGGTCCAGGTCCAGGCACCGAGGCCCGGGCACCGAGGACTCACACCACCCAGGCCAAGGCCTGACAGGGCCAGAGGACCCGAGCCCCACCAGGCAGACACCAGGCCGAGCCGACACACGCCCAAGCGCCCAGCCCCCGATACCAAGGGCCCCAAGCGCGCCGGCAGGCAAGGGCACACCCCACCAGGGGGCCGCGCGATAGGGGCGCGATGCCAAGCACCCCCAGTTGTATCAAAGAGGGGGCAGTCCGAGTCTCAGCCTAACAAATACCCATTCATACACAGACACAATCACACAATCCCAACCTCAATCTCACATTCATTCACTCAAAGACATACAATAACGATACATTTCATTCTTATTCCCGATACACACTCTATACCCCCCAGGTCCAAGACATGTACCCGCTCTCTATAGGGGGCAGCCCATGCCCAAACCCAAGAGGTAAACCCATTCATTCTTGAGCGGAGAAGAGCCAATACCCCAGACCCGGCCCAGGCCATGCCCCGCCGACAGGACACCCCCCCACCATGAAGAGGACACGCCACCGACCACCCCCACACACCGCCAACAACCAAGCACGCACCCCCAGCCGACCGCCCGCCAGGCCCCGGCAGCCACCCCGGCCAGCGGGCCAACCATGGCACCCAAGAGCCAAGCTCAGGGGGTCCAAACAACCCCAGGGAGAGCACAGCGCCAGCACCGCCCATGGCAACCCCCAGACCCTGAACCCCCACATAGTCCTGGTCAACACCCGACGGCCTGCCCTTCTCCCGGACCCCACCCCCAGAATGGCAGTCAGGGAACTAGGTGGGTAGGAAGAGGAAAAAAAAAAAATAATAATAAGACCCCGACACATACACCCCCACCCCTAGATGTGCTGTTGATGTGTGTTGTTGTATAGTGCCATTAAAAAGGAAAGAAGAAGGAGCAAAGGCTGGCATGGTGCCAGTTTCCCCTCCACCCCAACTCTATCCAAACCCTAGTGTCTAAATGCAACCGTTGTAAGTGAGCACAGGCACAGGGGGTGAGAGTGAGGTCATCCCACCACCCATAGCCATGTGCCCACCTCAAGTTCCTATATATGAATGTCATGAGGATGTTATGAATGAATGTCTAAGGTGTACAATAAAATTGAGTCCCAGGTGGCTATGGTCAACAAAGATGTAAAATTGTTGCAGCACACCCGAGCCCAAACAACCCTAAATGTATGGAATTGAAATGAAGAGGGTGGAGGTGCATGGTGAGGGATGGGGAGAAATAACTGTGAGAGCAAATGCTCCCACAGGGAGTCAGCTCCCCCACTGACCCAACATGCCGCCCCCCCGCCCCCCCCCCAGCTCCCCAAGGTCCACCCAGGGATTGAGGCCAAGACACCTCTCCATCTGGACCGACCGCCAGGCCCGCTGAGCTCCAGACCAGAGAGGGACAGAGCCCCGAGGGCCGCCAGAAGCTGCACCAGCAGCCTACACACCCGAGGGCCACCAGGACCCCCACAAACCGCAGTCAGCCCGCTACCAGATGGAGCCAAACCCCGCCAGGACGACCCGGCCAAGAGCGCCCGCCCCACCGCCGACAGTGCCAGGAAGCACCGGGAGCGAGCCCCCACCACAGGAAAGGGGCCAGCCAGCCGGCCATGCACAGTCCCGGGCCGCCCCCAAGGACATCCACCCCATCCCCTCCCCAGAAGAAATACTACACCCACCCCTCATTCGGACATCTCTCAAAACACATAGCACACTAGACACCTAGGCTGGGTCAAACTACCCCCTCTTAGGGGCCACTGGTCACGCCCCCAAACACCCAACCCCCCAGCCCATGAACCCACAACCCACCAGCGAGCCGAAGGCCCCCGCCCAGAACCGGGCACCAGAGCGCAAGCCGGCCCAGAGCCCGGCAACCCGCCCGCCAGAGCCCAAGATCCCCGAACCCCACAGGCCCAAGCCCGGGGGCGACAAGCCCCCAGAACCCC